CTACATAATTTTGACAGAATAAAACACAAGAACTAGAAAATACCAGAGTAAAGATTACTTTATATAACTCTGCAGGATAATAATTTGTTAATATTATTAAAATGGAATACAATTTTGGTAGCGATTTATCAACGTTTAAAGCATATGGGGTATTTGTAGCTGCCAGTTGCGACCTCCAGAAGCGGCTTTGATGGTTTCGCCACAGTAAAATTCGCCACAGTAGGATTACTGTGAAAGTAGTGGGTTTTTTTCAGTTTAAAATTCCTTCCAGGCTTGTTACTTTCAGTATCAAAAAATCTCCAACTTCAACTTTTGATATTTTGTAAAGCAAATGATTCTGCACAAAACATGTTTTTTTCAAAAATTTAAAAACTTCGTTTTTTTTTACGTTTGTTTAAAATTTTGTTTTTATTGTATCTTTGTGCACCTTTGTCAAAATTAAATTATTCAAAATTTATTTAAAAGTTTAGAATATGATGAATAAATCAGATTAAAAATTGTTAAATTTTATTGAAAATATATCAAATTAAAAGCAGATATGTCAAGCGGTAATCTGACAAGTTTTGCAACTTTGGGAGGTTTAACTTGGCGGGGAATTCACTTTTTCAGGTTTCCTTTGCGGCTTTCATTATGCTGATCTAGACTCTACTAATCAGTAAAAAATGAAAAATATTTGAGAGGTCGATGTTCAAAGGTGCGCTATTTGGCATGGAATGACCCAGTATAAGTACTGCAAGAGTAAAAAAATTTTTTCTTAATTAAGTCTAGCCAAAATTTTGATTCTATACTACTAAATTTACGCTCGTTATTTCTTTTTATTTCATTTTTTTTTCATTGATTGACACCTTGGCTAATGTAAAAAATTTATCGGCTAAGTTCATGAAAAAAATTTAGAGGTGGGAAATGTGTCGACAAAACTACACGTTTGCTGTAGTCAATAATGTCTTCATGGTTCATCGAGGAATCAAGACGTCTCAGGGTAATATAAGCGAGATCAGAAAGCTAGCTTCAAAACAGTTCAGAAAGGCAATAAAAGAGTTCAAAAAAAGAATGGAAAATGAACATCCAGAGACGAAAAATTTGTGTCCTGTTATTAAATTGTAACTCACTAATGTTGACAACCTTTTAACATCAGATGTTACAACGTTGGCTGGCTAAATCATTCACTGAAGGCATTAATTAATGCACTTTTGTCGAGTTATTGTTCGAATTTTGGAAATAAAAATGTAAGTTTTATAAGGTAGTCGAATTTAATGAGTATGCAAGCTTCTCTTACATAGACTTGCAAATGTGCATTGCAGTACACACACCTTTCCAAAAACTTCCTCAGCTTCCTTCCCTCGCTTAGCTGTAAACATAAAAATATAGAACGAAAAAGCGTTATGACCCCAAAAACGGTTTTATTTTTTATTAAAACAACTTTTAAATTTCTCTTCTTTATCTCGCTAAACTCTTTATTTGCAAAAAACCTTAAAAACATTCTTATTTTGAAGAAACCTCTAGCACAGACCTGCTGATACCCTACCTCACATTCACACTACTTCCAGCAGTACTCCACTTTAAGGCTTATACAGTCCCTTCCAGAGGAGCAGTTTCATACAACTTCTAAAATTCATTATTTGAGCAGTGACTTGACATTCCAGACACACACAGTGTTTGAAATCACAATAAGAAAAGCTTCCCCATCAGTCATCGTCACCTTTAAATCTCTTTTGTGGCAATCATTAAAAAAAAACTTTATCAACATAACACATCACTTCAACAATTAGAACTTTGCAGTTGGACGCTCGGTAAGGTAATTCTTAAGAGCGGGTAATTTGTGAACGCTGTCCACCAACTTCTTGACCATTGGATACCCGTCGAACAAAGTGGGGACCAGATTATGGAGATTAAATAGACTATCAGCAATGACAATATCTGCCCAAGTCACAGATTTTCCCACTAAGGTAGTGCCACCTGTCTTCTCCAGAAATTTGTTCAATTGCTTGAAATATTTATCTCGTGCGGGCACGAGTACGTCTTTTAACAGTTTGTCCTAAAATAACAAATAAGCTTCAAGAAGAACCGCCAGAATTTCAGAAATAAAAATAACAATTTCAGAAATAAAAACAAGATTCAATTTAAAAATAAATTAAGAAGACACTTTATCTCCAGTTGCTGAGCCAATTGCCACAGTGAAGAACGGCCTGACCTCAATCCAAAAATCTTTATGGGCATCGAAAACTGAGTCAACCAGTGCTTCTTCAAATGGACATTCAGGAACTAGCTCTTAAAATTTCTTTCTTTGTTTAAAGATATTAACCTAAAAATACTTCAAAAACTTAGACTATATAATCAACTCACTAAACTGTCTTCCCAGAAATCTGTAAATAGCTGCACTTTGAGCTACCATATGACCGTCCACTTCAAGAACAGGCATCTGACCGAATGGAGTGTCTGTAAAAAAAATACGAAATCTTAACTACAATTACTATGCAGCAAAAAACAATTTTTTAGTAGTTTATTTGACTTATTATTTTTATTAAGCTCTGCAAAAATAGTTATTCTAAACTGCGACGCCTTAATTTTATATACATTAAGAGAAACTAAACAACAGTGAAAATTGCTTGAAAATTCAAACTTGGTTTAAATGTCTCCCACTCATTTTTGCTCAGACGTTCATCTTCAAAGGGCACCCCGGCATAATGAAACAGAAGGCGTGCTCCTTCTCCTAATCCTCTGAGGTCAAAGTATCTTAGTTTATAAGTTGGTGTTTTTCCGTCAGGGTGCGGATGATGCATTTGTGATTTCAGCCACAAAATTTGCTGCTAAATATTGTTGTGAGACGAAATGCTGGTAAGGTTTCATCATTTACAACACGTGAAAGAGGAAATAACCAAATCTGTTTATAAGTAAGTTGTCTCAAGTCCCTTCAAAAAGAATAACTAAACTTATTACATGCAAACTTCTCCATTCACAAGCAATTGCAAGTTAATAGTAAGTGAAAAAAGCCTAGATTTTAAGAACAGTCCTCATCAGTACGCATGATTATTATGCTTATGGTTTTTGCAAGATACACGTCATCTTTTATCCTACTTGCCAATATCGATGACAACGTCCATCTGTAGGATTAGAATCCTAGTAGAAGTAGGTTCTTTGGCTGAAACAAATTTTAAAATTTAAGCTTAAGACACCAGTTGCAAATAAAAGTTATGAAAATACTATTAACTTATTATTTTATATCCGGTATCGTAAACTTATCTAATTGTGTAAATACATAATGAATTATAGTAGCTTCAAGATAAGTAAAACAGCTATTGAAAAACATGTTACCTTGCGGTTTTAAAAGAAATCAGTTTTAAAAAAAACGAGAGCAATGAAGTAATGATTATTTTACAACCCTACTAAGCCATCTTTGAAAGAACTTGACCATAAAAAAATACGGCTATCAGACACACCAAAAATCCCAAGCGCTCATCGTCAGATCAAAACAGATATCTGACTTGAGCTATCATCAGTCAGTAGTTAAACTCCTCCCATTTATTTGAAAAGGTCAATCTATAATTCTCCTCAGGCGAAATAAAGAACAAAGACAGTTTGATAAACTTCAAGAAATTTCTCACTAAGACGGAAAGATCAGCCCTTTCCGCATTTGATTGACAAACTTGAATAACTTACAATATCCGACGGCGTTTTTAGGCAGTTTACGATCTAGTTTCAAATAAATAAACAGCTTGTGAAGTTGCTCAAGGAAACACTGCATTGCTCAGCCCAAAGCTATCATAAAATACTTTGAAGGGGACAAGCGATTAGAATTTCGCTGATGAAAACAGTTTTCAAGTGCTATAATCTCAGGCAAAATAGAGGAAATGCAATATCTTATTGATACTTTTTTCCCAGGCTTTTCTCCAAAAGTGATAATGAAATCACAGACGTTCAGCATTGCAGCTGTAAAAGCGTTGCTTTTGTCCCAATTAAATAAAATTTGTTGTTTTTTTCTCTTCTCTTGTTTCTGGAGATATTTTTCAACAGTATTTTAGAAGTTGGTCATAAAAAAGAAGTGCGCATATGTTATGAGTTTTTAGAATTAACTTTCGCTTAGACTTTGCAACGTTATATCAATATTTCTTATAACGTGAGCTTCTAAATGCCTCATTTTGGTGCAGTTTTAGAAGTCTTATCAGTGTACGAGACGCATAAAATTAAGAATAAAAGATTTTTATATCAAGCTGTAAAAATCCGTAATCTTTTGATTAAAAAAACAAAAAAAGCATTGAAAAAGCATTATTGCGAAATCAGAACGAGCACTCTAAAAAAATAGAAAACAGTCTGTTCTGAAAAGAAAGGCTAATGTTACAGTTCTTTAAAAGAAACTGTGTTTCTTTAAAAAAAAGTACAAAATTTTACTGTTTCAGCAAATTGAGAATTTTCTTCGAGAGATGGTAAAGGCACAAAATTATTGAACTCCTCAGGGAAAGCTCCAGAGATTTAACCTGCGCACAAGCTTTTCTCATACTTATGTTAAACTGCATTGAGATAGTTTAAAAATTGTTTCAAAAAAACTGTGCACATTAGCCTAAAACCTATTGACCACCAAAAATCGAAAAAATTCTAAGATATCAAGTAAAAGAACTGTGCAGTCTAAAATAGAATGACTTTTACAGTTTTACTCTGCACTTTTCCACACTTCAATTTTCTCACTTACTTTCTCGAAATTTATTAGGTTTTAAATTCCGATATACAAAAAACTTTTACAACCTTATCTATCAGTATTTAACCCAGCACAAAAAAAAGCTCTCTTAGAATCAAACGCGTTTACAGCTGTTCCACAAACGTTTATTCGTCAAATTTAAATTTAACCATTAAACTGTGGAATCTACAAAAAGGCTCAAATAACAGGCTGCAAATATTTAACAAAAGTTACAAGAACGAACACATTTTCTTAATAAATAATGAATAAGCCGGTATCATACAGTAAGATGATTGAACTTTGCAGTTCACACGGAAAACCTCGTAAGATGATGCGAGGTTTGACTGTACCTTTCAAATTGTCTTTTCTTTCTTACGTTTGCCTCAAATTATCCACTTTTTTAACTTGAAAAATCTTCTTAACTTTTCTTCAGTAGAATTTTTTCCCAACAACCGTTACTGTTTTTTGAATACTCCTCCGTCTTGTGCAAACTCCTAATGCTACTGCAGGATAAAAGGGGAGAAAAGATAAAACAGCAAAAAAGACTCGTCAATGCCATTTTACGAAATTTAATTAATGCTCAATTGAGAATGTTCAATGCGGTATAGACTGAACAATTTTGACATTTTGGGTTCAGGGAAAAAGGAGTTAGCAGTAAAAATGGTCATTTGAGCAGATAAAACTTAGTTTATTCGTCAGCGTTATAAATTTTATTAATTTGTCTGACTTTTTACACTGTACAACAACGAAAGTAGAATAAAGTTTGAAACAAAACGTTAAATAAATATAAATATCTGTGACTTTTTGTTTTCTGCAAGTGTAATTACTAATTTTCACTGTGTTACCGGCTACAGTCGCAGTAATCGTTGTCGTGGTGGTGGCGGTTGTGGTGGCTGACGCGGATCTGGTTGTCGAATCAAAATTAGGCAATGAATTGGGACTGGCTGTCGAATCAGAGTTAGTGGTCGACTCAGAGCTGGGTGTACAACATCCGGTAGCGCAACTTTTGCTGTTTGGTAGGTGCTACCCTGGTTCAGGCGGAAATACTATTCACCGTCAGGAGTGCATATTTCACGATCAGGACGCTTAACTCTGCAACGTTAATAAGCAAAAGGAAGGACGATAATGTGTTATTGTGGAAGAAGAAGGAAGAGAAATTTTGCAGGAGTTGCTGAGACAGGATTTTGAATTAGAAATGGCGGTACAATTTAAGGCAAAGAATGATATATAATTTTACGCCATTTTTAACGCATACGTTTCATAATATTTCAAGTTTTGTTTTTGACAGTAACGAAAATATAACAAACTTTGACCAAAATGTTAAATATAAATGCTAATAATCTATTCTATTTTGCTGTAGGCGTAACTGTCCATGTTTAGTGTGTTTCCACCTGTGCTGCCTTGACACATTCACCGGCTGCTTGTTTGACCTGCTGAACATCCCTCATGAGCCCTGCAAGTGCACTTTTCCATAAAGCGTTTTTTGTAATCATCGCAACCGCTGTTCGTCGTACAAGCTCAGAAGAAGGGGTGGAAGACAAGAGAGTGTGTTGAAAAAGAAAAAAAAAACAAAAGGAGACTTTTGATAAAGTTTAGAGCTAAGGTTTTGACAGTGAGCTAACATTACTGCTCTTTTAGGCAAGTATTTGTCATCTATTTATCTTTTTTGGCTTCTCTCAAATAATGCACTTAATTGTCCCTATTCTGTCTCCTTGCCATTTAATATGACAAATTTGTGTTCAACCTTTTTAGTAAGGTTCACATCTGTAGTAATATTAAAATTGTTAACTCAAATAAACTGGAGAAAAAACTTATTAGCACTGAAAGTTTTGGTTTGAAAGAATACTGAAAAAGTAGCCGGCGAGAAAACTGTAGTATTACCAAAGTTTAGTGATTTTATGCAAGCTTACCGAACGCTGAATTTGATCATTAGCTACCGCTTTTATATAACCAAAACTAGGCACAATTGACGGCAGGTGCTGCATATTTTAATTTCAAAGAGCATTCCAGCGAAAGAAGTCAGTTGATCAAATTTTTCAAACCGTTTTGTTCGATTTCTTTTTTTTTTTTTT